GAACTGGTGTTTATAAACAGATGAATTATAATAAACTCACAGGTAGAGAGCAGCCTCCTTCTTGTGTGTGTGTACCCCAGAAGGCTTCGTAGAGCTGGGAGGGATTAAAGAGGTTGTATGGCCTTTTCTCTTCCTGACCCATGGGTTTCTTTTTACAACATCCACCTCTGTTTGCTAGCTCCATTATGATATCTACAATGACATTCTTTTCCCTTTTGGGTCAAATTCTGTTAGGAAAATGTGTGTGTTCCTTATATTACTGTAATCTACCTTCTTGTCACCTTCAGGATGCCTTTCCCTGGAACAGGCTAGAAACTCCCTTTTCCCTGAAGAGCTCAGCTTCTCACCGTGCCTATAGCTGTGGCTTCTTACCTACCTTTACCGCCATTCTGGTCAGCCCTTTGAGGGACGGTAAGGGAAGCTGGCCCCTTGAATATTCACCATCCACCCACTGTCCTGAGTCTCCCCTGACCTTGGAACACTGCCCCCTCCCTTCCCCAGGGCTTTGCACCTAACAGTCTTTTTCCTCATTTACTTCCTCTTTATTTATGTTTGACTATTTGATAAGATGTTTGCAAAAGGCCCCAGAAGAGTGTAGTCATTTGGTAATGAAATAACATTTCATGATTCCCATTGTTGGGACCCCTCATCTAGCATCTCTTCCCCTTTGTCTGTTTCTTTTAATGGCACCTCCACCTTCCCACTAACCTTGAAATCCTGAACGCTCAGACTGGTGTTTATCTTCTCTTCACTTTTTCTCACATCCAGTTGGGTGCCAAGCCTTGCAAATTCTTACCACCCCTCCACCCCATGACTCCATCCCTCATTTCAACCCTGATGCCTCTTAGGCTGAGCTATTATTATAGGGGTTTCCTCCTTTCCTTTCCTTTTCACCCACTACCACTGTGACTTTGAGTAAGTGCCTTGTTCATGCCAGCAAAATGGGGCAGGTCAGAGGGCCTGTCTCATTGGGTTGTTGGGAGGGATAAACAGGATGCCATATAGCAAATGCTTGGAACAGTGCCTGGCACATAGTAGGTGCTATGGAAGTGTTAGATATGAATATCATTATTATCGGCCTCCTCTAATCCTTTGCCAGGTGTACCACCCCAAAACATTCCTTTCATCAGGCCCCACCCCTGCTCAAAAGTCTGAAGTCTCCCTATGGTATGTCTACATAGTCCCTAAAGTTAGCATGCAAGACAAATTGCTAGGGTGCAGGAAGAGAAAATTGACTTCTTTTATATGTTTTTACCTCATTCTTCTAAATTTTGTACTTTTCGAGTATGATTTTACACTGTATATTTTTGAATAAGGGTACATTTATAATTTATAAATGTATGCAGTGTAAATACAGTAAAACCTTGGATTGTGAGTAACTTGGTTTGCGAGTGTTCCGCAAGATGAGCAAACATTTCTAATACATTTTAACGTGGTAAACGAGCAATGTCTTGCAATACGAGTAGTTTGTTTCTGGAACGAATTATGCTCGCAAACCAAGGCATTACTGTATTTACTTTAATAAATGAATATACACATATTAGTGGTTTGTTAAACAATATTTTACTGATAGGGAGTACAAGCAAATGAGTTTGGGGGTCCCTGGTCTGGAAGGTTAGATCCAGACCCCGAGCCTGGCATTTCTCTGTGGCTGGCCCCAGGCTGGCAGTCTTGTCTCTCCCCCCAGCCCTTCTTCCTCATGACCTTCACTCCCCACCTGCCCCACCTTGTACCTTTCGATTTCCATCGTCTTGCATCCCCTCTTCCCGTTCCTGGATATTCTCTCCCATTTTCTCATTTTCTTTTCCTATCCAGAAGTTCACCTTAAATGCCACTTGTTCCATCAAGCCTGCCAGGACAATTCTAGCTTGAAACGCATCTTCCTAGCTCCCCTGGCAAGCTTTGTCATTGCGACTCATTTGGCCCCTGCTGTTTTCTACTTGGGGCTGGGATCTTTTGCCATGTATATTTCTTGGCTCCATAGTTATTCTGTTAGTTCTCACATGGACATGCCTTTAAATTATGTTTTGCTTGCTGACTTTATTTTTATAAAATTATCATTTATCTGGAGACACATACCTATACTTTTTGAATGATGTTAATGTATCCCTATTTCATCGTAGTAATATATAATTCTTTACTCCGAGGAAAAGATTCATTTGTTACATTTGTGATCTGAATCTCCTTGGATTTGATGGCGTGCTTTAGCCTGAGGCAGACATTTGTATACAGTGCCGTGTGAACGTCTTTTGTGTGTGGATTCATTATTTTCTTTTACTCCAGGTGACCTAAAAATCATAATCCTTGTGTTTAATGCCTGTATTTCAGTACTGATAGCCCTGAGTTCTGACTGTCCTCCTGGGAAGTGAGGAAAGCTGATGGTACACAGAACACATCCATTTAATCTGGCTTTCCCCCTCCTCAAACACTCTCAGAACAGCTGTTTCATCAGCCAGGTTTTGTCAGTTTGGGACAACAGCTGTGCAATCATTGGAGCTACCATGGGTCCTGGAGTCAGAAGACGCAGGTTTAAATCTTGATTCCATCACTTGCTGGTTGTTTGGACTTGACCAAGACACTTAACCTCTCAAGTTATTTAATGTCATCTGTAAAATAAGCTTAATAATCTATATATTATAGAGTTATGAGGATTAAATGAGGATGTGTCTGTGAATGTGCAGGGTACCCAGGAAATGGTCAATAAATGCCTGTTTAAAAGAAAAGGAAAAGAGTCTCCTCTGTCTTCCTTGAGCTTTCTGATGCAGAGTATATTTTGGGGAGAAACAGACAGTTTCAGAGAGTGTACCTACTGGACCGAGCAAGCAGGCTGGGCCCGAAGGCTGGACATGAACTCAGCCTGGTTTCTGGGCTTGTCTCTAGGAGAATGTCAATGGCCTCCCTAGGGAGCATGAGGATTAATTAGTTAATCTTTGTGAAGTGCGTTGAAGGTGAAAAGTGCTATGTAAGTGGAATGGTTGAATTGCTATTAGAGATGTAATAATGGTGGCCCCAAATTCTGGCAGTCTTGCCTGTCTTGGACATCAATAATCAGTAGCAGAGAAGGTTACTTGATAAGAAAGGATTCATTGTGGGATTTCTGATAACACAATTCTTCTATAGAATTGCAGAGAGCAACTTGCCAGTTATTTCTAGCAGAGTGATGCTAGGGTCACTTAAGAAGTCCTGGTCTCTTCCTCTGGCTGCTGGGAACTCTCCCTGTGAAGGCAGTCTGCTTGTGAATCTCAGCCAGCTCAGGTAGTGGGACAGTTTGCCAGTTTGGGATGCTCTGTGGGTCCTGGGCACGTAGGCTTTTTTTTGGGCCTAATCCTACAGAAGCAAAGGAAGAGTGTTGAGTGGTTACCCAGTGATGCGGGCCAGTGTAAATAGCCAATGCAGCGAGGTACCATGGGCTTGTAGAAGGAGAGGTAGTGTAGCTGTGTAACCCTGGGCTGGTCACTTCTCTGACCCTGAATTTTCTTACCTGTTAGATGGGACATAGTGCTGGATGAGCACAATAGTAAAGATGGCTCACGGGAGGGTGGGTTTTACCCTTTCTCTGGAGAACTGAGGAGTCAAGAGAGCGTGCACACGACTGGTGGTACCTGAGCTGGACTGTAATGGTTCAGCCATAGTTTACCAGATGAACGATGTAAGGAAAGGTCATCCATGACCAAAGGAACAGCACACGTGAGGCCCTGAGGCAGTACATCTGAATGGACCCACTCCCAGTTCTTGGAATGCGCCTGCTACCCATAAGCTGCCCAGACATTGCTCCCTCTTTGAGGAAGCCCGGAAGTCAGAGTCCTGTCAACTTCTTGGCATCTACTACATTAGCGTCCGCGAGCAGACTGATCCTGAGAGCTGTATCCCTGCGGAGCCCTGAGTCCCTGCAGCATTCTGACATCTCCTCCATGAGTCTGGTTGTTTTTGAGCTGACACTATAAGCCATATGTTGACTGTGGGGCCAGATGAAGCTTTGGTGCTAAACACAGAGTATGTAGTAGAGTTGTCTAGAATTTAATATGCATTACTTGGTGTTTTGTCTCTTAAGCAAAGCTTTTCTTTGTTAAAATAAACATGTATAAAGAATTTATACAGCGCACATGGTTATGCATATTTATTGCAGAGAATCTGTTAATAATCTATGCCTCATCGGATTTTGCATTTCTGTTGAAATAACAAATGTGGCACTTGGTACAACTGAATGAATTTGGCAGATTTTCTCTCATCTGGGGGAAGAAAGGTCATTTCTCTTTTCACCAAACTTGATTTTCCTCAATCATCTTTAGCTCTGGCCACTTCCCAAGTGGTGCACCTGGGAACTGAATGCTCTTCTGGTTCTAAATGATTTTGTCTTTTTCCCCTTGTCTCACTGCCTTCTTTCCAGCACACATAGACACTTGCCTTGGGACCATTAGAACTTTGTTGAGTAAGAGTGTAGACTCTGAAAGGTCCTCTTATGTTACACGGAGGGGAACACCACGAAACTGGCCATTAAGTGAGCTCAGAGTAAGGCCCTAAGAGATTGTGACATGCAGCAAGTAGAAGCCTGGGGGACTTCAAGCTGGCTCTTGGAGGCCCTGGTTTGGGAAAGGGAAGAGCCTGAGAACAAACATCAGGGCAAAGTTCAAGGAGGCCATGAGCGGGGAGGGCGCGGAGGGCAGGCCATACAGCGTGGTCGAAGTGTTCTCTGTAGCCATGTCCAGGTCTGTTAAAATGCGGGAGCTTGGGCTTTAGAATCAGCCCCTGCTGGAGCCCAGCTCTGGCACTTACCACTTACTTGATCTTGACCAAGTCATTCCACCTTTCTGAACCTCAGTTTCCCATATCTGTAAAATGTGACTACTTGTGCTGGCTTTACAGGAAGATAGGAAGGCTCCTGGTACACATGGTCGTTGGCGCTAAAATAAATGTTCACACTTTCTCTTATAATTGAGTGCCTACCTGTGAGAGCACAGCTGTGGAAAGGAGCCTTTAACTCAAGTAATGTTTGTTTTTAGAAACTGGCAAAGTGTTTACCTGGGGCCGAGCGGACTATGGTCAACTGGGGAGGAAGCCGGAGTCTCACGAAGGCTGGACATTGGGAAAGCAGGATTCGTCCCTCCCCAGCTCGACACCTTCGTCTCTGCACTGCGTAATCGGAGCAACCGAGGTAGGAAATGACTTTCCATAGATGTCTTTGTCTTTATGTGAAGTGTTTATTGAGGGCCTACTATGTGCTTACAGTCCAGGCATGATGGTAGGTTTCACACCGGAATCTGAAAGGGTCCTTGCCTTGAGTCACTCTTGGTTTAATATGGTAGAAAAGGCAGTTATCCAGATAACTACTGCAAGGCAGACTGCCTGTAACTCCCTTAGAGGTTCCAGGTACTCTGGGTCCACTTGAGGAGTGAGAAATGAATTCAGGGGACAGGGATTGCATTAGGCTTCAAGGGGAACGTGACTCTGCGCTGTGCCTTGGAGGATGGGTCCGACGTGAACAAGCTGTTATAAGAGGACTTTTAGGTGGGCACCACAGCTTGAACAGAGCTATGGGGGTAGGAAAATGAAGACAGTGTTTGGGGGACCACTGGCGGTTCAGTCTGGCTGGAGCATGGGGTGTCTGTGGGGGAGAATATGAGGTAATATCAGAAAGATGGGTTGGAACCTGGTCAAGGGGGCCTTTAATACTGAGCTAAGTATTTTGCACTTCTGTTTATATTTCCCAGTGTAGAAAACATTGTAGTTCAGCCGCTTATTCACGCCCCACTAGTTTCCTGAAATGTCTTGAATTTCTGCATTTAAGGCAGGAGTCTTAATTTCTCCAGGGTGTGTGTTTCTATTACTAAATTTTACTTTACTGCTGTCCTTAAAAAAAGAAAGAAAGAAAGAAGAAAAGAAAAGGCATGGCTTTTGAGAAGAATGAGGATGGCCCCGCAGGAAATGTGCCTCTGAACCCAAGTTGGCTTAATAAAGGGATTCAGTCTTCATTCAGAGTCTGTCAAAAAAAATTAATAAGCTAGTGAGACTTCTGTAATTAGCATCAAACTAATTACAACCCTCTCCATACCTAGAGGGCTTCCCTTCCCCCAGGGCCTGCCTGGCCTCTTCCTTCCGGGTATGTAGGACGGTTCTCCATTTCAGCTTCACATCCCAGCCCTGGTCCTCCTGGGCCTTTCCTTAGTGCTGGGTTGAGTCTGTCTGTCTGTCTGTCTGTCTGTCTGTCTGTCTCTCTTTTTCTTTAATTGAAAATGCACTAAACAACACTGCAAAGACAATTTGGACATGGTCATAATAATAATAATAATAATAATAAACACCCATCATCTTACCACCCTAACACAACTATATTTCTTTTTGCATATGTACATGTACATACTTTACAAAGTTATGGTGATAGTATTTACAGTGATTTATATCCTGTCTTCATTTATTTTGTCACAAATGCTTTGCTTTGTTTTTCTTGGTCTTTAAGATCATTTATAGTGGCTATATACCATTATATGTTTGGAAGGTTCTGGGATTTTCCAAACCATTCTTTGAATGTTGGACATTTAGTTTCTTTCTTTCTTTCTTTTTTTTTTTTTTTGGCACTATGGTGGACTCTGCAGTGAATACCCTGCTTAACTGTTTCTTGAAAATCAAATCTTGGGGATGAAACTGCAGGGGAAAAGGCCATGAACATCTTTATGACTTTTGCTAATTTCTCTGGGTTCTGTTTGAAAGAAGTTGCCCCCACCAGCAGTAAATGAGGGAATGCAGTATTTAAGTGGGTTTTGTCTGCTTAGTGAGTTCAGGTGCTGGGAGCTTGGTGTATAGTACTAGACTCTTTCGCTTTTCTTTGCCTTTCCCAGGACATTTCAGACTTTGTGGTCAGGTAGCATAGCAGAAGCTCAGAGGCTTCATGGATTTGCCTGAGTCTTTGCTTGTATTGGTAAGATGAGGATAATAATACCGACCACAGAGGGTCGTCGATGAGGATTATATGCAAAGTTCCTGGCATGTGGCAGGCACTCAGTAACTATTGGGTCCTTTCTCTTTTTCCTCTTTAAAGCCTTTTCATGCCCTGCGGTGGCACAGTGTACAGCACTGGGACAGACATGGCCAGTGCGAGCATAGCACCTGAGAGCCTGACATTGGTGTGCCTTTTATTTAGCTTCTTAGCAGAGCAATCTGAGGAGCCGGCGCGAGCTCCGTGCTCCCCTCCATCTATCTCTGCCCTAGTATCTGGGGCACTGGTGTGCACACTTGCTGGTTGCACTGCAGGGTCAGACCCCAGGCTGTTTTTCTGTTCATAAATTGGGGCTGCGAATTATCTGCACCGTTGATGTCCAGGTCTGGCTTGTCAGGCATCTGCTTGCCTGAGGCCCAGAGCCAAGCCAGTGGGCAGCCATAAACTGCTCAGAGTGATTGTCAAGCCCAAATGCCATTCTAAGCCTCATGTACCTTGGATAAGATAAAAGCCATACTAAACTAGGTGACACCCTGCTAGGGACTTGGCCAGGGAGGTGCAGGGACACCTGTGGAGAAAGGAACAGCCTTGAGCTGAGCTGATTATTCCTGACCTTTAAGGACCTGAGTGTGGCCCATAGCTGACCAGTTGCCTTTTTTTATGTCCAAGGGATAAGCAGCGGGAGGCGTGAGCTGTCTGGGTTAGGGCCTCAGGTAGGATGTCTGTCCTGAAGGGTCTGGAGGGACAGCCGGGCAGGAAGGGAAAGCAGAGGTAGATAGGTAGCTGGGCTGTGATATAACCAACCACCCCTTCCTGTGAACGAAAGAAAACAAATAAACAGTGGTACTTGGTGGTTGTTATGGGCCAGGTAGAGTGCTAAGTGCTTTACATATATTCATCTTCACAAGAAACCTGGACACAGGTTATAATCGCTGCTTTACAAATCAGGAGACTTAGGGCTCAGAATGGGTAAGTCACTGGCCCGAGATCACACAGTAGGTAAACAGTGGGACTTGGACTTGAAGTACTTGAAACTCGCGTACCTTCTGTGTAGATGAAGTAAACTTACATATGTCCTTTTACATGTGTACCCTTACCTGGATGAAAGTTCTGGAAGCCTGAGAGTCAGGATCTCTGATTCCCTGAGGGTCTCAGTTCTTTTCTTCTGAGCTGTGTGTCCTCTCTGGTCTGAGAAAGACTTTGAGATTTTTGACCTGGCGAGCCTTCCCTTTAATGTTCTTACGGCGGTGAAGGCTATGTGTTTCACGCACTATCGGATTTGCCTTAGATGCTGGGCCTCTCTAGCCACTCCTGGAAAATTTCAGGGCAGCACCATGATCGGGATTATACCCCCACGCACGTGGCAGGGCAGGGTGTGTGTGAGCAGGTTTGTTTGCTCCTTGACAGCAGACGTGCACTACTACAGCAGCCTTTTTGCTTTCCAAGCCCCAGGTGGGGCTGTGTCCTGCATGTGTCCTGTGGAACATTGGCTCTAAACGTCACCCGAAGGTGAAAGCCTGCATTTCACAGTTGGTCAGAGGGCTTGTGCTGACTTCATGGGCACATTGGGACTCCCCGCAAGATTCTGAGGGACGTAGAGCTGGGCACCTGGTGTGTTAGTGGACCCATCAGGAGACCTGCTTGACGGAAGGGGAGCAGCCTCTGAGGGTCAAGTTCTAGATCTGCCCTGACTTAGTGAATTTGGGCCAGCCCCCTTGCTCCTGCACCCTTAGTTCCCCTGGATGTGGGCTGGGGATGTTAGGCCAGATGACTCCTAATGTTTCCTATAGATCTGAGTCCCTTCCATCTCTGATTCTTACTTCATATCAATAATCACTACTTAAACTTGGAATGACCCCTGCCCCTGAAGTCCCTCAGGGTCATAGCCCCGATCACTTAGCCCCTAGCTGCTGGCTCAACCTGGGCAGACCCGGGAGTGTTAACTAATACAGACGTTCCAGGCTTCAGGACCGTTGGAGCTTTGCTGTGCCTCTTCGCCTTGGCTCTGTTCTCTGCCCTTGTTCCTTGTCCCCAGGGCCCCCTGTTCCAGTTTAGGTCATTGGGACTTAGTATGATGCTCCCGCCGGGTGTTCCTAGGACTTGCAGTTTGGCTTTGACTCCCGTCCCTGTGGCTGTGCCCTTACTGCGGGGGGCATGCAGGCCTCGGTGACACTACCTTCCTGGCTCCCCCGCCTGCCACGCCCTCCAGGCTCCGTGTGCTGTCCCACCTTTCTGCTCTCCCGCATTGGCCACGCACTGGTGGTGGGTGGGGAGGTGGATACAAAGATAAAGAATACGTGTCTTTGCCCCGAAAGAGCTTCCCGGTACATAAATAAATCCTTTCTGTACAGAGTGAAAAGTGCTATTAGAGGTGTATGCGACAGGCCAAAGAAGCAGTGAAGACAGAATGATGTATTCTGAAGACACTAACAAAAAGAAGTGTTGTTTGAACTGGGTAGGAGTTTAGCAGGGGTGGAAGGACATTCCAGGCAGAGGGGACAACATGAATAAAACCGCGAACCGAAACCTGCTTTCACTGCTGGGACGCCGGCCCATTTCAGTGGTGCAGCCCAGTTTTGCAGTCTGGCTGCCTGTCTAGCTGCCCCTTCACGGCCATCCATCCTTCTGAAAGGAGCACAGTCTGAAGGAAAAACACGCACATATATTATTTCGTTTGATCCTGGTGCGATGCTTTGAAATAGGCCACAATAGGAGTGGTTATCCTCATTTCATAACTGAGGAAGTGAGGCCCAGGGAGGCCAGCTAGGACTCAGCAGACCCGAGGCAGGCAGCTGATTCCCAGTGCTTCTGAGGGCCTTGCTCTGGGTTCAGTCTGTAGCCATGGCCCTGAGTCACGGTCTTGGTTAAAATTCCATCCACGTTTGGTTGAGCACCAAATCCCAATCAAGGGGCTCAGTGTACACATGCACGTGCGTGCGCACACGCAGCCACTGGAGCAGGAGCAGGAAACGTGGACATAAACAAGAGTGGCACCAGGGACTGAGTCGTTGTCAAGCCCAGATGCCATCAGCCCTCGTTTTGCTGCAGGACTAAAATTGTTTGTTGGAGGATCAACCTGTGTGCAGGGTCTAAGTGAAATCTGTCAGAACAAGTGGGAAAGAAGCTATTTTTAGTTTGCAGAGTCACTCACTCAGCTGTGTTAGCTGAGGTTTCAGCCAGTCCCTTACGCCTTCCACAGTGTTATTTCTGAAGGAGAAATA